TAGACTAGAGGAAGCAGCGAGGTAAATACAAGAACCTGTAGACAGGTTCATCAATGTTCATCTACACATCTAGGTCCACTTCAAGAAAAACTCAGCCAAAGAAAGCTGTTATTACATAACTCAGAAGAAGTACTTGTCGCCATACTCTGAACTGTGAAAAGTAGCCTTTTTGACTAACCACTCACTTTGAAACCGATGTCATCATTCGGCAGCTGTATAGTTTGACATGGAACGAAGGGTATGAATTTCTGAGTAATGGCATCGCTGTACTTTCTTCCAATCATATGTTTGAAATTTATGATGGTGTTCTTGAAGTTGGTATTCACTGATTGTCGAGCGGCTACACCCATGCATCTGTTTTTCGCCGTAAAAGCAACACATGTTCTGAAATGCTGCAAAATTTGAACAAAAGCGAGCACAGTTCAAGAATTATGGAAAAAAGAACTCACGGGGTTGCATGCAGTGAATAATCATTAGTGATTACTTCAATACCACCCTGACGGGCGATACCGATGTAACAGTTCAAATTACCGATGTCGAAGCCGACAACAGACATGATCGCTGAAGATCGACACCGAAAACATTATTAAATGTATGCACAACTGTACCGCATAATAATTCACGACACTGGCAACAAGGAAGGCTTTGGTTAGGACAGTCTCAGTTGACAGAAAGCAGATGACATGAGCATTATTCGCGAGCGTGTGCCTAGATAGCGTATTCATTTTTCGTGAACCAATCGCGGAGGCATTGTTCACAGTCTGCGGTCCAGCGTTTCTCTGGAACGCGGCGGTTCGGCGAAAAGCTTTCGATACGTATCGACTGGCGGTTGGGCGAAAGGGTTTTGATACGAATCGACGGGCGTTTCGCCAAACCGCGACGTTTTTCGCCTTCGACGACACGCTTGCTTTCGCCTATAAGCTCATATCACTATAGTGTGATATATAAGCCCCACTCATGACAGAGTGAGGTTCAGTTTACGGAGTTAGCGGTTGTATTACCTATGTTACGACAATAAAGAAGCTATGATACCCGTCGTGGAATACAAGCTTCACAACACGCTAGCTCGATCGCCGTGGCGTTTTTCGCCAGCGAAATCGATACACATCTATTGCTTTTCGCCCAACCGCCGAACCGCGGCGGTTCGGCGAAACTAGCGGTTGGCGATTCTCCGATCGATGACTATTTTTGCTTTTCTCCCAACCGCCGTTTCGTCAGGGTCGCAGACTGTGAACAATGCCGGAGCAGGCTGAACGCGCCCTCAAGAAAAACATGACTTAGGCAAGCGTTTGCAGAGACCTATATCATGGCAACGATTTGGAAAAAAAGGAAACTAGGCCATGTTACTAAGGCATTGCTGGACCAGTGAATTGAGCGCTTTCACGTAGAGAGTCACAGATGGCGTTCAGAATTCGCGATCAGATCGCTCGACTGGATCGTGCGATCACTACCGGGAGCGCTCCACCACCAGAGGTGCACTACCGCAACGACACAGTTTGGACAGACAGTGTGAAAACGTGGCCCAGTTCAAATTTCGCGTCGAACGCGCGACCGAAACGCTGCCGTCGCGAAGTCTGAATGCTGCCTTAAATGCGTTTCGATCGACAAAGCCAAATGGAACAATGCGAAGCTCACGCCTCGGCCGCTCTCCTGTTCTTCGTTTGGACGACCAGAAATAGATATGTATCCAACTATTTTTACGTTGACGCTGAATTCGCCGGCGTTTTTCATAGCGTTTGACGATTTTTCCAGTTAACTAGTATTTTTTTCGTTCTTTTCACCGAATCACCAACTCTTTAGGGTCGTAGACTGTGGTGACCTATTAGCAACAAAAACTGAATCCCAGGCTCTCAGGGGAGACCATCCAGCCGACAGTACCGCAAGAAAACCTCGTGCTCAACCTAGCGGCGCCAGAGATCCTAACTGAGGTATGCGAGGTACGAAATCTCCGCAGTGAAGGCGTTGAGGCTGGGGACCAGACTCCCTGCCAGCTAAATTCTCCAGGAGCGCAGTCAGATT